CAGTCCTTACACCAAGAAAACAGGTCATTAGACTGACAGAGAATGGAAAATTCATTTAGAACACAGAGAAGAAAACAAATTGAAAACTCACTCCCACTTCAGTTTGCATGCATAATACACCTGACTAACATTGTCATTAAACATCGTTGATTTTGATGGAAAATTTGTGAATACGTTAAGTTGATCTGATTAATTGATAAAAATGACACACCTTTAACTTCATATTGGTGTTAGGGGTCAGAACAGACACCATAGGCAGACGTACCCACCTTTGGTATTCCGATCTGAAACAGCAATCGTGCATGTGTTTGCAACATTATATCTCACTATATTCGCAAACGGTGTTGAATTAATTGTCTAGGAAAACAGTAAAAACCAGTCAAGCATTCCTTCAGATTATATAGGACTGAAATTTGATTTCATTCTATGTGTCAAACTTCTAGCTATGGGCCGTCAATCTATTGAACTGATTAACAAAAAAATGCTTGCGTATTTGAACATACTCACAGCCCACCTCGTACATATGATTTGTAGCCTATATTTTGCTCCCCTGTCAGCTTTCAAAATTCTTGGGAAATAATAAAAAATTCAATATTCCAGCGCATTATGAAGCCAGCATTCAGATAAAACACACTCAGAATGACATTATAGATGTTACTAACCGAACCTCTGTTCAGGATAAGGCAAGTGAACATAACTCTAATATAAAAAGAAATAAACTGATTTTATCATAAGGGGCGGTACTATCAATTCCTCACGTAGGTAACTAGATAGATGTAGACTTAACACTGAAAAACGAAAGACAAAACAATAGATAACTGCTGGATTTACCTTTGAACCGGATGATTTGAAGAACTTTAACTGAAGTTCATCAGCGCAAGTCAAGACTAGTACTGAACCAATAGAATGGAAAATATTTGTGCCTTGTGGTTAAAGTACAGGTATAACCAAGAAGGTAACCCGGAAGGTAACATGGCATAGACAAGTCGCAGCTGAACGGTACGTACAAGGACGAGGAGTTCGGTTAAATCTACACGTGGTATGCACGCTAAAAGAAAACAAATGTCCGCGCCGTAGGAAAAACTGATTTGAATGTTGTCACGGTGTGGTAATATTGTTAGATGAACATAATTTCAGCGGTTCTAAGTCAACATGCACGGTAACGCTTATTGTAAATCAGACCTTACAGGGACCCTCCCTCAGGCATTAGTGTACCAGTTTTCAGGTAGGCTTTTAACTTATTTACTCTCACTTCTTTCGTTCCTTTTAGACAACATTATCTTCAACTACAATTGCCATGTTACTACACCTCGCTTCGGTTGCTAATAAGCAATTAAAAAAAAAACTGATGAAACCGGCGGAATTGGGGTTGACCTGTGGAGGATATATTACATATGTGGTAGACCTAAGGTGCCTTTTCGGAGGCCTTCTTACAGCCTGGTTGCTGTAAGGGTCGGCCCTAATGCCGCTAGTTGCAATAGCCTTGGGTGACTCTTGTAGCCGATCACCACTCCCCTCTACTCCACCGCGTGTGACCCTCAGCATTTTATCAGGTTGCCCTCCGTAATTTGCTGGTGCCTTTTACACACCTGGGTGGAGAGAGGCACTGTGAGAGTGAAGTGCCTTGCCCAAGAACACAACACAATGATCCCAACCAGGACTTGAACCACCAAACCACCAACCCCCCGAGGCAACTTTNGAACTTTAACTGAAGTTCATCAGCGCAAGTCAAGACTAGTACTGAACCAATAGAATGGAAAATATTTGTGCCTTGTGGTTAAAGTACAGGTATAACCAAGAAGGTAACCCGGAAGGTAACATGGCATAGACAAGTCGCAGCTGAACGGTACGTACAAGGACGAGGAGTTCGGTTAAATCTACAAGTGGTATGCACGCTAAAAGAAAACAAATGTCCGCGCTGTAGAAAAAACTGATTTGAATGTTGTCACGGTGTGGTAATATTGTTAGATGAACATAATTTCAGCGGTTGTAAGTCAACATGCACGGTAACGCTTATTATAAACTGAATCAGACCTTACAGGGACCCTTCCTCGGGGACCCTCCCTCAGACATCAGTGTACCAGTTTTCAGGTAGGCTTTTAACTTATTTACTCTCACTTCTTTCGTCTCCTTTAGACAACATTATCTTCAACTACAATTGCCATGTTACTACACCTCGCTTGCTAATAAGCAATTTTTAAAAAAACTGATGAAACCGGCGGAATTAGGGTTGACCTGTGGAGGATATATTACATATGTGGTAGACCTAAGGTGCCTTTTCGGAGGCCTTCTTACAACCTAGTTGCTGTAAGGGTTGGCCCTAATGCCGCTAGTTGCAATAGCCTTGGGTGACTCTTGTAGCCGATCACCACTCCCCTCTAGTCCACCGCGTGTGACCCTCAGCATTTTATCAGGTTGCCCTCCGCAATTTTCTGGTGTCTTTTACACACCTGGGTGGAGAGAGGCACTGTGAGAGTGAAGTGCCTTGCCCAAGAACACAACACAATGATCCCAACCAGGACTTGAACCACCAAACCACCAACCCCCCGAGGCAACTTTATCGAGCGTTTATATGTGAAAACGTAGTCCCTGAGAGTTGTCCAGGTTAGGCAAGCCAAAGCGTTTATATGAACAAAAGTTGTCCCGCTTCCCAGGGTTACCCTAGCTCCCGAGGCGAGACAACTCGCCCACCCGAGTTGTCTTTGATTTACAAATTCGACTGAAGTCCCGTTTCTCGGCGAGATGTGATCAGACTATTCTTTCCGAGAGAATAAACATGGGAAAAGTAAGGGCCTCCCAAGGAACCGAATTGGTGAAAAAATAACGCAAACTTGACTTGACAGCTTCAACAGAGCTGTATTTTCTTTCAAGCAAAACTATTTTTTCACTTTTTAAATCAAAAGTGTACTAAAATGACATTGCATGAAATGATATGTACAATGGTTGGCTAAACCGTGGTATATCTGCCTCTCACACAAGCGCAGCCGCTCACAAGCGATATAAAATTGCGATCATGCTACTAGAGCATGGTGAGATTGTACAAAACCAGTGAATACCGTTTTCCTTACGTTCTACATGTAACTCGAGATATCCTACATTTACTGGTTTGGTGTGTAGTAAAACAAGCATTCATTAGAGTGTGAACAAACAACGGAGAATGTTTACCGTCCGTCGCTTCACGGATTGGTAAATATCTTTGGTTATTCACTCCCACTGTGATGAATTTATTGAACATTATTGAATGTGGCACTTGGAAACTTTGCTCAACTATACATAGCATGTACTGTGCAAGTTAGGTTCTCGGGAAATAATACAAATGAAAAAGACGCTTCTGCGAAAAAAATGCTTGCTTGGCTTGCCTCAAGGGAGGCGAGTCCCAAATCGCCGAGCTTGTGCGTTGATGAAACCGCTTATTCTTGTCGCATTTCGTGAAAATTTTTCCCAAATCCGGGGCAGGAACACTATCGAAAATACTGTTCACGTCGATTTTTGAATACTCTTGATGGAAAATGGCGGCTTTCAGAGCTGCTGGCCGCGCCCACGAAGGAATCTTCTTTCGCGGATTGTCCTCGTCGTCGGTTGAGTCGTCGCTCTGTAGATCAGCAATGTTGTAGTTCTCTTGTGAGGCCGGCTTTCGCATCCTTACTGGAGGTGGGGTCATTTCGTACGAGTCGCAGGTTGTAGTCGACTGGACCTTTTTGCTTTCTTCGGCTAGCTGTCGCTCCTCAAGAACCCGTTTTCTTTCTTCGTCCATCTGTTCCTGTCGTTTCTTCTCGCGTATCGCTGCCTCCCGTTCTTCTTTCAGCCTTCTCTCCCTGTCCTGGCGTTCTTTGTCCTCTCTGGCACGCTGTTCTCTCTCGCGTCGCGCGTGTTCTTCTTTCTCACGGATAAGCTGCGCTATTCTTGCCCGCTCTCTCTCCTCTCTTTCTTTGTCTTCTTGCGCTTTTCTCTCGCGTTCAATTCTCAGCTTTTCCTCTCGCAATTTTCTTTCCTTTTCCTCTTTTTCACGGAGCCGTTTTTCTTTCTCTTCAATCACCTTTAGCTTCCTTTGTTTCTCCAACTCTCGCTCTTTCTCCAGTTCTTTCTCTCTGTGTTCTTGGTGACGTTTAGCCTCAGCAATCTTCCTCTGCCTCTCCTGCTCTTCTAACTCTTGTTTCTTCTGGAGCATTTCACGCTGTCGTTTTTCCTCTTCCTCTTGTTCCAGTTTTTTCTGTAGTCTAACAGCCTCTTCTTGTCTTCTCCTTGCTTCTATTTCAGCTCTTTTCTGGTTTCGCTGTTTCTTTTTGTCTTCGTCTTCCTTCTCTTTGAGTTTCTTGGCTTTTTCCTCAATGACCTGCCGCTGGTCCTGAGTCTGGCGCTTTTTCTCTTCCAGCGCCTGACGTTTCGCTTCTCGTTGTTCGGCCGCCTTTTTGGCGCGTTCCTCTCTTCTCCTACATGTAAAACAACAAAGTTGACGAAGAAATTTAATCAGCCACTGTAACAATCTTGGATAACTGTTGACGGCAAAACTGTCTTAAAGCTTTCTTGTTGTGACGGTCGTAAAAACAAACCAAAATGCAAATCACGCAAACTTGGGAGAAATATATGTAACAAGGAACCACTACCAGGTAAATTAACCGCGGGAAAACCAAATAAGCTAAGTTACACATCAAATGGATGTTCCTCACTGGTTGAAAAACAACCTTTTTGTCCTGATTGGTTAGACACCCTATACAAGTAATACCTAACTTCGCTAATGCCAAACCCACATCAATTACTTCTGATCCTCATAGTTCACTAAAAACCGCCCCGAGTTTATAGAAATAACTCTAGGCCTGCATACAAAGAGGCTCCTAATTACGGTCTCATCCCGGTACTTATTTAAGCTAAAGAGGTCACTGCGCTAACCATTACATGTAGGTCACGGAACCTTTCACGCCCCTAATTAAACCACAAAGGATGAGAATGCATGTAGTTAATCCACGCACCTTTTCCGTTCCTCGATTTCTCGCTGTTTCTGCATCTCGAGTTGTTCTCTTCGCTCTTTCTCCTTTTCTTCCTTTTCTTTCAATGCAATGCGCAGTTGCTTTTTCTTTTCCTGGACAAATATAGATAGTACACTTACGAACAATGGCATTGAAACTTCTAAATCTAGACACTTTAGATCTCAGTTCATAACTCATAAGGCAAGCACATGAAAGTCTGTCGACTCTATCCTTTCTGTCCAATAAACAGTAAACTTAAGCAGGACTTTAACATAATAATTTAACGCTTTTTTTTTTCACTGCTTCCTTAAGCTCATCAGGACTGATTGAACAACAGTCTAACATAAGTGAACTATCTAATCATGGTGGACAAAACTTATCAATCACTGTTCAGATATGAGAACTAGCTGTAAAATATCAAAATCAGATTAAAAATTTGAAACCCTTTTCGATATCAGCTTTTACTAGTTGTAAATGTCTGGGGTCTGGACTTACTTGCTTCAGACAAAATGTGTCATTTTAGAATACAGTGTATACCATAACAGCAGCAGACCAGGTGAATACAATTGTGTACACTACTTTAGGTTCAATTTCCACCCTACTCTGGGATCTGGTCTTTAGGGAAAGTGAGGGCTCGTTTTATTTGCCAAAAATTGACTGATAATGAAGTCTAAAATTTTTGGTGCAATGAAACAGGTTAAATATTTAGAAATCAACTCTCAGCTGATGATTCACAAACTCCAGTGTTACTTCAGTTTCTAATGTTCTTGTTCACTGTGACCCTTTTTTTAATCACTCACCTCTGGATCAACCTTCTTGGGAGTGTTCCTCCTGATGAATGAATGGACGAGGGCAATGTTATTTGGTCTGGCCTGTTGATAACCAAGAAAAAAATACAATCATGTCACATGGTTTATCCACAATGCAGTAATTAAAGGGTATTGAGGCTTTGCATTAGAAATTTAACATGTTGGTTTGAATTTTGAACAATTGATCTCAAAAATACAGTAGAATATAGAAAAGAAGAATGAAATCAACATTCCAATAGTGAATTAAATACATCCAAATACTTCTCCTACTGGAAAATCATGTTTGACTGATTTACTGGCTGCTAAAGTTAATGAAGCCAGACTTCAATGACAACCTACATTGTATATTTATCTCCCAGGAAAATGAAGTCGTTAAGCCCTGTTCAAACGGAAAATGCTTGGCGATCAAAACGTGATCGAACATTAGTTGGTGACCAAACATTTTCTTGTTTGGACCTTGTTTGATGGTGTTTGGCCACCAATCATTTCCCATTTAGACAGGGCTTACAGCATTTCTCTTTCAGTACAATGTACCTTCTGTGATGGATTCACGCCTTCTTGTGGAGGTAATGTTGTAGGTTCCTCTAAGATGCCTGCTGGGGCAACTTCTAATTCCTCGCAACTACCATGTACAATTGGCACTGGCGAACTGGCATTGTCCACAGTGGGTGGATGTTCACTTCAGTTGCAATGAAAAAATATTGTATCAAAATTTTGCATAGTGTCGGTGATAAGTTGCTAGAGACATGACAAATGGTTTAGCTCATCTTAAACAATAATTTAAGACAAAGTTCTGTATTTTCTGTCCTAGTCTCCTTGTGGTATTCATTATGCTATCCACTCTTCAGAAAATATTACTTTATCTTTAGTTACAGAGTAGATTATTACTTTATAGACTCCTATGATTTGATTGTAATTGGACACATTGGAAGAAAAAAATAACCAAGCCCTAAGCTGATACACTGTACATGCATATCACAGGATTTAGGATAATGATTAGGTTTACCACAGCTCCACATTAGCCTTAAAGGGCTGTTGTTCTTTTTTAACCTGCGTTAACAAATAAAGTATGTATGTGTATGTATGTACTGAAGACACTGTTTCTTTTCAATACATACCTGCTTATCTTTGTGCCCTTTGCATCTTCTGTCTCATCATCAGCTTCATTCTCCGATCCCCTGCAATCATTGAACACCTCTTCACTGTCATCCTCTGCAGGTTCTTCCATAATCCTCTCTTCTTGAGCTTCTGCTTTGTCTTCAGCACTACTGCAACTGCTGGAGGAAGGAACCTCTACTTTGTCATCAGCACTGCTGGAACTGCTAGAGGTAGTGGCAGAGCTTGCACCTGAGGTGCTGCTCTCGCTTGTCAAGTTATCAAAGAGGCGCACCCTAACATCCGCCAGGCTAGGATCTGGTGATCCATTGTCCCTGTACTTGTCCGCAGTGTTTATCTTCAATTCTGGCATAAGTTTAGACTGCGTCAACTTCAGCTTCACTGAGCTTTTGATAATGCTCTTCTTTCCTGGTGTTTTTGATTTGGTTACTGTCCTGTTGATAGATGGTCGTTTATTAACAGGAGATATTAAGCAGTGACTTGATCTTTTGCTTTTCCTTCGCCATCCACTATTTCTCTGCATACTGTTCCTTCCAGACTTCACTCTAGGATCAGCTACTTCGATGTTTTCTTTATCCACTCCTACTTTAGATGCATCACCATTACCATCAATGGCATTATAGCCTGGTTCATTACCAGACACATTTTCCACTTCTCCATTTTCAAGTTCCTCTTTACTTTTAGATTCTGTTTGTTCATGGCTCTCAGTGCATTCCTGTGGTAGGATTGGTGTAGATGAACACACTGCAACAACATCTTTGTTGGTTTCCTCTTCAGGACGAGCACCATTTTCCTCCACTGCGATTTCATGTGATCCAAGATCTTGGTCAATATGGGGACTTGATGTTGTTTCTGATGCTGCTCTATTGCATGTAGTTTTAGTCAAGCCTGGTGACTGCAAGACTAAATTAATGGTTGCCTTACAGGTCTTGGCAGATTTAGGTGGTGACATGACATTTTCAACAACAAGTTCAGGGGTTTCTGGGACATGAGCTCTGTTTTCAGTCTCTTTCTTCTCATTGTCTACTGACTCCTCTTCATTTCTTGAATTCCTTGTGCTTCTCCTTTTAGGAATTTTGTCAAAAGGTGACGCAGGTTCTTGTTCCACAGCAACTGACACCATAATTTCTGCACAATCCTTCAATATTGTAGCTACATTTGACTTACTTTTCTTCTTTGCAGGTTTTGTTGGCAGTTCTTTGGTAGAGGAAACCTCTACAGTTTCTTTCTGAGGTTTCTTTCTAGTGTTCCTAGTTACTCTTTTGGAAGAAATTTCCTCATCAACAATTAATGAAGAAGAATCTGATCCATTTTCCTCTATCACTCTTGCCATCTCTGAGTTCTTCTTTCTTGAATTCCTGGCATTTTGCCTTGGTTTGTCATCCATGGAAGAAGAATCTGAAGTCTGGTCTTCAGCTGAACTTCCAACATCTGGCAAATTATTTTTTTGTGATCCTCTCTTTGGCTGCCTTCGTTTCGGCTGCTTTTTTTCATTTCGGCTTGCTCTACTTGCTCTTGTTGTTTTCTTGGCTCCATCTAGCTTACCTTCCTCATTTGTAACACTACAGTCCAGAAGCTCATTCTCATTAATAACCATAAGTGGTGATGAGTAACCTTGGGTCTTGTGAGCTTTTGCTCCTCTTTCTGTTTTGGATGCAGTGTCGTCACTGCTTTGTTCTTCATCACTCTCCTGGCGCTTCCTTTTCATTGATGGCGTCTTCGGAAGGAGAATGTTACTGTCACGCCTAACATAACAGAAAATACATGTATAACTTTAGAACATGTCGTTCTGCAGTACTACACAAAATTAATGTAAGTTGACACCATCCTCATTAGTAAAGATATTCATTTGATGACGTCATTTCCCACTTTTTCATGGTTGATTGTGCAAACAGTCAGTCTATATAATAAAAAGAAAATTACACAGTGGACTAAAGGGGCTCAGCCACAGTATTTTGAGTTATTTTGGCTACATACAAAATTACCTTTAAACGGTAGGAAACCTCAAAATAACAGTTTAATAAGATAGAAAAACACTAAAGAGGTAATGATAAACCATAAAGGAACAAGGATGGCTAAGGATGGAGTAGATTGACACGGATTACAAACGACAAATTTGAAAAATTGAGACTAAACTTTTCAATATGCGCAAACTGTGACTGAGCTCCTTTAAAGATACAAATTTTATTTTGTCATGTTAAAAACAGTTTATTTCACTACTCGATAAAAAAAATTTGATATCTTGTTTGTATAGTGATTTGTTTGGAGAATTGGTTATATTAACCCACACATATAATTAACAACAATTATTCCATGAGCGTGCATTAAATATGAGATGATAGATAGTCAACGAGGTGTGTAACCCAGATTTGGCTGTAGTTATCTCATGTCCAACAAGCACGAGTGGAATAATTGTTTTATCAAGAATGTCCCCAAAACATAGAAAACTAAAAAAAAAATGTCCAAAAAGATTATGCTTATGCTTACCATATTTGTAGAGCATGGTAAACATGTAATTTCTCATATACCTTGATTGCTAAGCCTATAAAACTCTGGAATTGCATTATCCAATGATCCAGTTTATAATAACTAATAACAAATACACAACAGAGAGCAATTTGTGTGTATCCTCTACTTTCTGTAAGACCTGGCACCAGTTGGAGTTCTGGCAGGTACATGTGATTGCTTTCTGTTGTGAATCACCAACTACATGTGCATGTATGTTAGCTCTTTTCAAAAACTGGCCCTCTAGGGAAACTTTTGTATGTCTTATTGCCCTGACATGTACATGTATTGATGGGTGCTTTACAGGGCAACTCCTTCTTTAAGTATTTTTGAAAACACTGGGATGGCATTGTAGATCTTTCCCTTTTTATAACAGATAAAAATATTGATCTTTTGAAATCGTTGTTTTATTCAGTCTCTACACGACCCCTAAGACTGACAGCTTTGATTAATAAAGGTAGTATGTAGAAGTATACAGCTTATTATATACACCTGTACATGTATTTAAATGTATGTTGTTCACCCAAGTTATACTTTCTGAGATCAGGCAACTTGATCAGTCACTTTACATGTAAGCTTATAATCAACAAGTTTGATATAATTTTGAATGACAGCTTTAAAGCGTACATGTAGTCGTAATTTTGCACAAATGCTATGTACGTATAAGCTTTATACCTGTAGTGTTGATATTCATATATACACATACGTTACTTGTACTAGCCCAATATTTTTACAACTCTCACCGTCCAAAGTGTTGTTTGGCTTCAGCTAAGATCTCATGAAGGTAGTTAAAGTCATCCTCCTCGATTTCTCTCTGGAACTTTGCTATCGCTTCTTCGGCTCGGAGATGCAAAGAAAACCCAAGTGGCAGTCTTTCCTTGGGGTCACAGGCGACGGCCATCTTGAATTCGCCCAGAACGAAGCTGGCAGTTGTCTTAAAATGGCTTCTTCCTGAGAAAATACTTTTTCAAATGATCATGTCCCTCAGTTAGCTTCTTAATTGTTAAAATCTCCTAAAAATATCCGCAACCTGCGAGAAATTTCACTCAAAACAACCCGTGCTGAATGAAAGAACTCGAGAACGATTTCTGGAAGTTTGAATTTACCGAAAACTGTTTTTGAGCCAATCAAATACCACTATTTCAAATTTTGAGCCAGCGATCTAGGTGGGGCAAGCTGAAGATTCCATACCCATGCGCAAACTTATGCAAATTTTAAAGTTGTATTTGTGATTTGAGGAGACTTCCTTGAGAGAAGTTGTTACTGGTTTATCTGCACAAAGAAAAACTCTTCTTTTGTGGAGTTTTGGAGTAATTACGTTAATTGCCTAATAGATTAGTTCACCTTTGTCGAAAAGAAATTACTTCTCAAAAAACTGTCGCGAGGAAAACCGTACAAACCGAGTTATTCACGTGTATACATGTACTTCTTCTAAAGAGACCTTATGTCAAAATATGCCGGGAATTGTTGTATTTAAGCGCCGATGGATGGTCGCAAGTGATGATTTGGTCATTCCGTTTGGAATTGCTTTCGTCCTCAGAGGATTATGGTGAGAAAATGTTTTTATTTCCCTGTGTTAATAGCTCGCAGTTATTGCCAGACATCACATGTGAGGTAACTTTATTCTATGTAACGTAAGAAAGCTCTTTAGCTAAGCCAAATGATACGATATGCCCGACAAATTTCGCGGCTATTCCCGGCAGTGAGCGCGTGTAATCTTGTTACGAACGATATTAAGTATGTCACTGCTAAAACTACTTCTTTAGCAGATAAAGATATTGACCGTTAGTCTTCTTAATTGTAAAACGTATGAAAGGTACAAACGGAGACATCTGTTATACTGTCACAAACTTGGTTAATTCAGTAGTCCGTTGCTTTTGTTCTGTAACTATTCAACTTCAAGCTTCTGTTACCACAATGAAAGAAAAATATTTGTTTACCCGCTCATCTTGTTTTTTTCGATGATCTGTTGTTCCTCGGCTAGAGACATTTACGATAAGTAACTTCTCGAATTTCGGATGTACTTTAGCCATTTTTAAGTGAGCTTATTAGTAATGAGAAACGAGCTTCCATCGAAGTCGTCCGCATCGGCAAAATTCCTATGTAACAATTAAATACAGATCTTGTAAATTCTCCTGTAGTTGCAAGAAATTGCTTTCGCGGGAACTTAGGAGCTCAAAGGAAGCTTTTGGTTCGTTTGTCGAGGACTCAAACGAGAGTTTGTGTTCGCCCAGCTTTTGGTGTGGCTCAGCTTGAAAGTGTTCCATTAATTTACTTGCTATTGATTGTTGCTTGTCGTTAGGAAAACCTCTTTAATAGCCAAAGCGAAATCTCATTCACAAAGGTATGAATATTCACAGATCTAGTGTATGTACAAGACATTGCACAAAAGTCACATAAATCACCAGAATTCTTCATAATTTCTACAAGCAACATATTTAGTTCTAGTGTTCCACTTTCAAATGGTAGTTCGTGTACACATTTATGTGTAGCTACTGACATATCAGTTGAAATCGTATAACCTACATTTTGTTGTTCAGGGTGGTACATATTCATAATTTAGTCACAAAACAACTTAAGGCTTATATTTTATTTATTAATTGAAAACCTTTCAGAAACTAGCTACATGCATGTCCAATATGTTTTTCTTGGGTCTGATATTGCTGCTAATATTTTGAACTTACTGGTATCCCTTGTAATTATTTAAAGGAGTGAAAAAGTTTATATATATTTTACCAGTATTGCCATAGAGCAATTTGCAAATTGATAAACATATGTTAACACAGTGTCCTTTGCAAATATCTCCACTAAGCTCCCAGGCTGTGGTTTCTTGTCATATATCTTAAAATCGTAATCACTGATGTTGATACTAGTTATGTATACAAACTTCAAGATTTCTCAAATTAAAAGAGAGATTCATTCCGAATTTTGCTACACAGGTTAGCGCACAACCCTGAAGCGCTTTAAAACTGTGAACAACTTTTAAATGTATGTGTGGTATAAAAAAATGCATCATACATGTATGTCCTAGTGGAATGTGCAGATGACATGTGTGCCTTCACTCACGACCATCTGCACTCTTGTGGCTTTGTTGTCAAACATCGGTCTGCATGAAGATTAAATTTTATTTCAAGCTTGGATAAATGCCCACAATTTTTATTAGCTGGCAGCTTTTTCCAAAAGCGCGACATTGTCTTGGTTAAGAATGTTTATACATGATGGTGGCCTACTTATATACATTTGTAGCAAGTGATTGCAAATCTTTAACTATTCACCATTGTCAAGAAGTGGTTTAGAAGCAATTGCTGGGCCATCAAAATTATATATACGTGTACAATCAATAAAAACTCATGGGTTTAAACTTTTTAATTAACTGATAACCTTAGTTAAATTTTTTACATACCGGTAATCTTTCGCACCTTTTAAAATGTTTGATTAAATTTTGGAATGGAATATTATAGATGTAGCTATTTTTAAGAGTGGTTTGATTCACTTTCAGCAAAATTATAATCTTTATTTAACATGAAATTATTTTATTTACCTGTGCCAGTCAGGGTTGATGCTTTTTACTTGTGTTCACATACACTAACAAAGCTGCTTCGGTTTAAAGGGATTTACAGTCTTACATGTACATTCTGGGATTGATTTTCTTCACATCATTAGGACTGATTTTGCTTCATGTGATAAACTGTTTCTATTTTAAATTTTAACAGAACTGTGTCCTTTTTTTCTAGTTACTGTAGGAATGGTAATTCATTGATGTGAGAATGAATATAGTTGGCATGGGGGCTTTTCTTATAGGCTCTCCCCCCACCTTATGTGAGTTTTGCTCTAAACTACATCAAGATTTTTAAACTTAAACCGAGAGAAGGGATGGATTGTAGTGGGACAGTTAGTGACAATCATACAAATGTACTAGGGTGAACATAGAGTTTGTGGAGAACATAGTTATTTTTCATGTAAACCTTGTCACATAGTTTTGGGCTAATCCCTCTTAAACCTTTCCCTGCCTCTTTTTCCAATGTTTTATCTGTGGGACAGATGCCTTATTTTCCCTTCCATGTGGGGCTTGTGGTTGGATTGCAAGGAGTTGCCAGCCATGGGAACAGTCTCCATCTAGGAGTTGGCTACTACATGTAGTAGTGTCTTGGGTACCCAACCACCATTTTGCAACTGGCAAGGCTGCTGTTAATTGTGATTTGGATTTTGCTAATAATATGATAAAGCTCTTCATTTTTAAGCGATGATGTATTATGTGACGTCATCGCTTTAAGCTGGCGTGCATGCATTCCTTTGGATGGTGATTTCTCACTTATTTCGTCGCGCTTATGTCCATCAGGCTCATGTCACACAATTTACCCCTCCATGGAAGTGAAATGCACTCAGGGATTTCCTTTGTTGCGTTCCTTTTCTATTTGAAGGTTCAGCAGAGTGCTTTTAATTCTAGCTTTTAGCAGAAGATTTAGGGGTGGATTTTGGTTTATACAATATCGGATAAATTTTCGTTCACAGGCAAACTCAAAAAAAGAACATATCCTCCATACATACAAGTTCAGATAGAGAAGTAAGTCACACAGGCAATAGGTAAAGGCTTTGCAGCTTTCCTTTGCTGTTTGTAGGATCGGTGAACTGCTTTTAATCGATATGACAAGTACAGTATACAGTTAAAACAACAAATTAATTTCTGGTGAGGTAATTAGTGTTGCCAAATATTTTGGTGTCGATTTCAGAGAGAGTAACTTTCCTTTGCGGCTTTCCTTTGCAGCTTTCCTTTGCAGCTTTCCTTTGCTGTTTGTAGGATCAGCAGAGTGCTTTTTATTTTAGTTATCAGTCTTTCTTTTGGGTTGGTACATTTTGCTGACCCCTAGCACATGGACTAACAAGATGGACCTGGTACATGAACTACTTGAATGAGCTACCAATGGACTACCCTAAATGTAAACCCCTAAAATTTGTAACACAAAAATTCTACAGTTTAGTTTAAGAATCAGTTTGTCTGCTTATGTTCCAATCTTCTAGGAACAATTTTTAAAAGTCGTCACTTCTGCATGCATTGCATGCCATTTATTTCTACATGCGTCAGTCTTGATAGTTCAATATCATTTTCAGAATTCGGTTGTTGTATTTATGCAAATAGGAACAATTTTGAAAATGTATAACATGTGTGTGTACTCTGTCACTGCAAACCACACAATGCAACTTGATCACCAAGAAATAAATTTTAGTACGCTAAATTTAGGAATCACTACAGTGCACATGTATTTTGAGACCCTTGATGGTAACTTATAAGAAGTTTCTTTTATTTGGTGAAATGGATGTTGTCGTGTTAGGTTTAGGCTAGACCAAAAAAGTTCATGTATTACATGCTCAGTAATCATCTCCCATGGATGTATTGTTGAATAGCCTTAAAAATCGTTTATTAAACAGAGAAGCTGTATTTGCAATTCCAAGTTTTATCTTCTGAAGAATACATTCTTTTTAGAGAGTTCAAAAAAATATTCTACACTGTAGCTTGTTGCTTAGTTTTGTAGCCCAGCATCATGCCAGGCAAGTTGCATAACCTAACAGAAGTGTTGAACTACCTAACTTCATGCAGTTAATGTGAAAAACAGTAATTGATTGGGCACCCTGCCATGCCCAGCACTTTGTTGGCAGGTTGGTTAATTAAAATAAAACCCATGACAAAGCTGTTGTCAGTTATACAATGTATCTTTTATCATTGATAGCTCTTCTCTGGACCATGTTATGTTTATTAATCTTGTGTGTTGAGATCATAAGAAAACATGTCAACCTTCTTTGCCAAGCACAATGTACAGCATGTTCCAGAGCCAAAAAAGGAAAATTCAAAAAATCCATTGGTTGTATTTTGCAAACAGAGGGACACAGCTTGCACAATACAGACTGTTTATTAAGTATGTAGATATACACAGTTTACATGTTTTGAAAAACACTTTATATGGTAATTTATGTTAAGATGCTATTTACAAGGCTAAAAAGTTAAAAATTAAAAGAAAACCAAAATGTTTTTGACTAATTGTGTTTAAGAGAACAAAGTTCTAATCAAGTAATGTAGAAAAATTTGAGTTTTGTGTTAACTATGTATTTTCTGTGGACACCAATTCCCCCCCCCCCCC